GATGGGTCACTGATCAGACCTGTTGATACTCATCTCGTGTTTCTGTGAGTCCTTTGAGGATTTCAATTTGAATCACACCACAACTTCAAAGGGAATGGGATCCTATGACATGGAATCTCAGATGTCTAGAAGGCCTTTGCATTTAGCGAGGGCCCGGGCATCTATGGGACAAGCCTGCACAAACACAACTGGCATTCATGTAGCTGAACGTGATAGGCCATTAGCTAGATACTGGTCAGTCCCAAAAAAGCAAGGAGATCAGGAATATCAAGCCATTCTCAGGCTACCACACATGACTGCTAGGTGGTAATAACTCTCTCCATGCCAGTCTCCCCTTGTGGGCTGTGATCAGCTTAATGGGTCTCAAGTTCTGCAGCCCCCTTAATAGTTTGTTCCTTTGTAACATTTATCATTGTTCCCCCAAAGGGACCATTTAATGTAAAATTGAAATTTATGCATATAAACTCAAATTTCACAATGCTATATTATTCAGTACATGGATCTACTGCTGAGCAGAGACTACTTCATCTTTTCTTCCCTCCCTTGTTTGGAATTTATTATCATAATGGGACATAATGGTTTGAATTCTCTTTTTTAAAAAATGAGGCTAAGGTCATGCATGCCTTGCACTAGAAAAGAAGGTAGTGGATTACAACAGTCTTTAGATCGAGCAAAATGACATTTCAGCATCCTCATCCAACTCCTGAGAAAGCTCTCTCTTACATAAACTCTACTTCCACAACACCAATAGACTCTATATTATCCAGCATGTTGATCTACTGCAGTGCTGGGTAGAGATTATTTAATCCTTTTTCCCCTCCCTAGTTTGAGCACTGTGCTTCTACAAACCAATAAGCTGAATGCCAAGCAACCAATAAGCTGGCTGGACACAAAGATACCTGCTTTCTATTTTTACCTGCAGCATGGAAAATGCTTGGGATTCAGCAGCACTTAGTTCTTTCTTTGTCACTTCTGCAAATGTATAGCTTTTTGAGAAATGTGTTGTGCTTTGCCCTCAGGTCGGTATAAAACAGACGTCTTGATCCGATGGAGCCGTTGTACCATCAAATAAGTGTGCAGGGTCTGTGAAAGGAACGCTTTGCTGCTGCTACACGATCATTTGTCCTGTTTCACACAGCATTATGAGCCAACCATGTATGTTGCATCAGCACAGCAACATGGGAACTACTATTCCAGCAACAACTGCTGCCACCAAATGATACTCAGAATTGTTATGCAGCAAAGGAAACGTAGAGAGGGAGATTGGCAAATTTTGGACAGTTGAAAGACTCTTCCATGCATTTTTTCCACATGTTTATGCTCGTTGAATGTTTGACATGTTTTTAACGAATTCTTAATGAATTGGTAATGTATTCAAGTTGGTCAATCTTCTGTGAACTGCTTTAAGCACATTGTATTGTTGGTAAATGCAATGGATAAACACACACACTCAAACATCCGTATGCATATACACACAAAGAATCGTAGAATTGCAGAGTTGGAAGGAAACAGAAGGGCCATCTAGTCCAAACCTCTGCAACCCAAGAATCTTTTGCCCAACCCCCGACCCTGATGCAACTGAGGTACAGTGAACCACAGGGAAACCAGGAAAGCAGTATCAAGCAACATAATGATGATGAGCAACTTTCAGTGCTCAAGGTGCTGAACACACATTATATCAATAATACAATAACAACGTAAGGTCGGTCAGTCTCATTATCCCCATGTTATTAAAGTGGTGATTGAGGCTGAGAAAGTAGTTTGGAAGTTGCTGACTGAAATAAAATTTGAACCAGGTGCTTAGCATCACAAAGCTGAAGGAAGAGGAGGCAAAGAGAAGGTAAAAAAGAATATACTGAAGGTGTTCATCACAGCTATTCAGATTCAAGAAACTGCATAAAAGAGAAAATTAAAATTCCCTAGAGGGGGGAGCCTGTCTGTTGTTCCATCACTTATGCTGTACATGCTGAACTCTCAGAGGCAATACATTAAAAGTCTCACATTCCTTTCTGAAAAAAGAAAAAAAACAAAATAATGATTTTCATGCTCCCCAAATGTGCCTGATTTTCAGGGACTTCTTTCTTTTTGCATCCAAAATGTTGCCTCTTCTATTGTCAGGCTGTTGTTTTTCTCCTTGGGAGCAAGTAAACAAAATGAAGAGCTGCAGAATATTGCATTCTGGAGTCATATAAAATAGGATGAAGCTCTCAGGCTTATCATTGCAGTTCAAAGAATGTAGAGGATTTCCATTAATATCATCCCCAGCAGACTTTAGAGGCATGTGAAGCTGACAGATTTCAAAGTACCTGCCTGCCAGTGGTTTATTACAAATATAGAAGATCACATCCAGTTATAGGTTTTGTATAAATGTGAGTAACGGTATAGGTAGCTTTTCTTCATGTACAGGAAGGAAGGAAGGAAGGAAGGAAGGAAAACATCTTCCTGTTAAAGAAAATAGTTCATTTAGATAGATAGATGATAGATAGATAGATAGATAGATAGATAGATAGATAGATAGATGATAGATAGATAGATACACACACAGAGAGAGAGAGAGAGAGAGAGAATGTTATTTGAAAATTACCAAAGTCTATCTAACAATAACACAAAACAGTTCCCATTCAATTTTATGTTCACATGCTCGTTTCTTACAGCAGTGTTAGGAATCTCAGGCCTAGGCACCAAATGTGGCCTCACCAGGCCTTTCTATTTAACCAATGGCAGTGGCAGACTTTTGGCTCTCAAATTTCAGCAACGCCCTGTGTAACACTAAAATCCCCCCACACACACACACACACTACCTCTCGCTCTCTCTTCTACAGCACTCTTGGGCCACTCTGTGCAGTGGCACCCAGTGTGGTTGTAGCAGTTGCACTGCCCTAAAACCACCTCTGCCCTTGGCATTCTCCTCAGGCCACAGCCACTGTCCAGCCACACTATCTCTTTCCGAGCCACATCCCTCAGTGGCCTTGCCTCATATGCTCCTTGTGAGTTTTTTTGCTTGGCTAAAATGTATCATAGAACTCTAATAATGACCTTTGCTTGCCTGGGTGGAGCATAGAGAGAGGAGTGTGAATGTGTGGAAACTAGCCTACCCTGCAAAGGTAACATTTGCACCCATTGCTCACTTTTGCTTCTCACCATGCCTGTCACTAGTATGTGGCTCCTGGAAGGTTGCATAGTAACACATATAGCCCTCAGACTGGAAAAGGTAGACACCGTTGATGGGTAATCCTTCCCGAAGGAAGTTTGCATATTGTTGGGTGTAGTGAAGGGTTAACCTTCTGTGTCTCGAGGCTGAGAGGAGGCGCTTACAAGGGAAGTAAGCCAGGACGTGACGAAAGCAGCTTGGAATGCTGTGAGCTGAGTGAAAAGTGAAAGCAGTTTTGCTACGCAGCTGCACACTGAGAGAGAAGGACGCAGAGAAAAATGCAGCTTGAATCAGATGGAATTTCTTGCTTGTAAATATGCTACTTTTGAGCAAATAAAGTGATATTAGGAAAGAAGAAACGTGTGGGACTTGTTTTACTGCCCTTTCAACACGGACGCTGTGCAATTCTGCTAATTGCTTTACGACCTGCAGAGGAGTGCAGGGGAAGCGTGCCGGACGCCGAACACTAAAGCAATAAATCTACCTAACACATATCAGGTGGCCTAAGTGAAGGCAACCCCCTCTTTATACATTTTTAAAGGGCAATACAGGTCACAGAAAAAATAACTACCTTCCCCCCTCAATCAGCTTCCAATTGTGCATAATAGACTCACTTATTGCGGGGAGCTGTTTTTATTTTTTTATCTGTGTCAGGACAAAATCTGAATGCTGTATATTCCCAGTCGTGGCAACAGGCTGTGAAGCTATTTTCAATAAGTATTACTAAAACAAGTATCACTTGTATTTTTAGTTAGGATGCGGGAAATGCATATTATACCTAGGGATGTCAGAGAATGTCAACAGAAGCCAGAGGGGAAATTGCTGGTGGAAATTCACTTATTTGTCCCATGTCTGGAACAATATGTAACTGATGGCTCCATCCTCCCCCCCCCCCCATTTGCTTTGCAATAAAGCTGAGGAGCTGTGTTATATCAATGGGCCATCTAAACTAGCACTGATAGCAGCTTTCCAATGCTTTAGATAAATTCTTACATAATGCACATAGGCAGCAGGTCTCTGTTCCTTTATACCCATCTCTGCATTTTCACCTCCTCTGCACCAGCTACATCCCTGCTGTGGTCACGTCTTACATTCTGCCACTTCCTACAAGGTGCCGCGATGTGGGAGGCTCTGCTGTATTGATTAATTACTCTCTGAATGGTACCTGGCAATATTGCACCTGATGGATGGTGTTGCGTTGTGTAATATCAAAGGACGTAAGCCTGTGAGACTCAGGGTCAGAGCATCATTCAAGGTGTGCGAGTCTTCTCCCTGAGCAGAATATCAATTAGGTGTCGTCTCAAGGCTGGATCATCATCTGTCTCAAGTAATTTAGTCCTGATAAAATCCGTTTACACATTGCATTAGTGAGGTTGCAAGAAGGTCAACAGTTAGGGGCGTGTATTCACTTATTTATTTTCTATCGCAGTTTATCACTGGGATGGAAGCAGTCCTTCCCAGTCACAAAACAACCATCATGCAAACTGTGTCATTTCTAGGGATAATAATCAGTATGCTACTTCAATGGCTGTTCCTAGCTCTTAAATTATTCCCTTCCCTTTATTGAGGGAATTAAGCAATCACCTTTGCACTCCAATAGAGACATAGCTGCTAATGGCTGCTGATGAACCAGTACTTAAGCTAGAGATATGCCCATGTGTCACTTGCCTGTCCATCATCCTCTCAAAGCTACTACTGAATCAAACAAATGATTTCTAATTGCATGGATATAAAGATATTCAAGATATTTTCCTACATAGTTTAGCTTAGCTTACATAGAATCATAGAATCGTAGAGTTGAAAGAGACCCTGAGGATCATCTGGTCCAATCCGCTACAATGCAGGAATATGCTGCTGTTCCATACAAGAATTGAACCTGCAACCTTGGCATTATCAGCACCACGCTCTAACCGACTGAGCTATGCATACCATGAATATGGATATGAATTCATCTAGATAACCTAGATTCAAGCTAATGGGTTCAGATTATGGACTGTAGCTGTAGCTGGAGTCCAATGACCAATTTTATTCACAGCAAAGCAACTTTTGAAAACCTGCAACACTCATTGCAAGCTGAAACCACCAAGATAAGTGATGGCTTAACAGAAATACAGTCATCTGTCTGCTTCCAAGTTCTATTCAAATGTGTCCCTCCACTGATAGGAGTTTGATTCAGTGGCACCTTCTGTGAGCAGAAAGTGGATAAGGACACCTTTTTGCAAATTTCCCCTTTCTTCTGCTGTGCCTTGCACCACCTCCCATCCTGTTGGTTCAATTCTCTGGAGCAGATTTGGAGGGTTCAGTGGGCTTCAAAGGGAAGAACTGAAAGAAACACCTCCCCCTACCCTTTCTACAAACAAGCGTCCATTGGAACAAAGAGCTTTCCATCAGCAGGTGGACAGAACTGGATACCAGTTCAATTTTTTTTACAAATATTAAAAATTACTGCTTGCTTAACTGCTTAGTGACTTTGGACCCAATGATATATTTGATTCTTTCAGTTAACTAGCTCTTTGTGAGTCTTACTGTATGGTGATCACAAAGGTTATCAGATAGTAAAATGACGCATTATCCATACCCAGCTCAAGAGTGATCACTTCAGTGCAAAGTATTTGTGAATTCAAGAATGCGCCCTTTGTTTTTGCACCATCTGGCTGATTAAGTTTGCATCAGTCCTCAAAGCATCTAAATGAAATCAAAACCGACAACACAATTTCATTAAAGTCTGAGTTACTCATGTGAACGATTCAAAGTCCAAAGTGCTCAAAGGGTGCTCATGTAAATGTGGACGCTCGTCAAAGGAAACAAATCCTCATGTTTTACCTACAAATTAGAAAACTGCTTTTGCTTTCAGCTCAGTTTACAACCCATTTAAAAATGGCAAATCGCTTAATTGGTAAAGTAAAGATCACACCTGAAGCCCAAAGGCAGAAAAATGCACTGAGCTCATTCTATTTTTGTGGCTTTATACCAGTTGGTTCAACTTCTGCAGTCAATCTATGTGACTGGTCCAGTTCTTCATACTTCCCACCACCTTTCGTGCCTTATATATAAAGTGTGTCTGCTAAGGGTTGCTACAGTCTTACAGTAAAATATGCCAGGACTTAACTCCAAGCAGAGAGAGAGAGAGAGAGAGAGAGAGAGACTGGCCCAAGTTCATCCAGTGACCTTATTTCTGAGTACTGATTTGAACCTGAATCTCTGTTATTTGTTCTTCTTACAAACTGCTATACCACACCAGCTTTCATTTAACTTGATTATGAATTGGAGTTTATAAATTTCAGACCTCCCCTTCCCAATCATCATTTCACCCTTGATCCAGCCATTCCTTGCAGCTGACAGATGAATGCGTCTATACTGGCACAAGACTTCACACTCTTCAAATGTTCATGAAATCGAAAATGTGGTTTGGTTACTGAGGGGTGGTAGTGGTCTGTGAAATGGCAGGATTCATTTCTTTGCCATGAGAATTTAGGTAGCCATAACAAAAAGATTTTAAGTGTTTAACAGGCTCAACTAAACAACTAGCTAAAAGAAAAACTGCAGTGGAAGATGCTGAATATGACAATAGAATTCTGTTTCCAGGTGAGCAGTGTAGTTCAGAGCACATCAGTATCTTCCGAAGGATATGCCCCTCCAAGGAAAATGACTATAGAGCTATAGGTAGCCAACATGGTGGTCTTCAGATGTTGTTGGATTACAGCTCCCACCTTCCCCAACCACTGGCACTGCTGGTTGGGGCGGATGGTGCTGGAGTTCATACACTGGTGGAGGAAGAGGCATGCGGGGGGAGTGCACTGCCCCCGGCAGCACAATCCCAGTGGGGTGCCATCGTGGCTTCCCCCCACCCACGCTGGGCGCCACACCCCTACAGGAGGCACACCATGCCCCCGGGATGCACACAATCCGCCCCTGCCTGCTCTCTGCTCCCTGGTGCCGGAGCATGAAGCTCCGCCACTGAGTCCATAGCAACTTGATGGCATCTGCTATAGCACTAGTAAAGTCAATTCAATGCCATCAAGAAATATCTGCATATATATTTCAGATGCAGCCACATTCCAGCAATTGCAGCTACATTGCTGCACCAACAGAAGCATTCAATATGCTTTGCTGGAAAGCACCAGCTTCATTACCTATGCTGATAACAATTTTATTTCCTTAGCGAGCTTGGTTTTTTTAAAGCCTCTTTTTTCTCCCAGATCCTTTAGCTTTTGTTTCATTATAATGCAATGCATGTCCCTTATAAAATGATCTCTGAAGTGTACAGCTTAAGTGTGTTTCGTGTATAATCATATGTGCCCCATTAAGCTCAGCAAAATATGTCCTGTAAGTATATGCTATTAAGAGCCTGACTTGCTCATTCTGTTTCTCTGTTGAAAAATGAAGTGTTCTTCAATAAGCCATGAGTGATTCTGTTAATGCTGCAGTCATTAATTCCTCAACTATCTACTTCTGCCCCTGGATCTGAAGTCAAACTTTGATAATGACGCCCAGGTGTCTTGGGCCTTATGGATGCGGGGGACTTGAAATCAAATAAATTAATCAATGTCAGCATACTGATGCAAGACCATGGTTGACTAAACAGAAGAAATTAATTATGGTTGAAGATAAATATTGTGGGAAGGTAAATAGGGGGAGAAAGAGTGTCGATCATTGGGCCATTAAGCTCAGAATTTCCGACACTGACTGACAGCAATTCTCAAGGATTACAGCAGTTCTCTAGGAATCCAGACAGCAATATCTCCCAGGCCTACCAGGAGATGCAAGAGATTAAACATGAGAACTTCTGCAGCCAAAACCAATACTTTACCACTGAGCTTTAGTCTTTCCCCAAATAATAGGTAGAACTGCAAAGAGGGTAATAGCAGCTATAACTAGAATGTCAAAATCGTTTGGTGTGTATTCTGTAGAAAGATCATATCAATGGTAAATATCATAAAACAGCAATGCTGGTGATCAAGGAGAAATACAAAATGAAATAATGAACAAAAAGAATGAAAAAGCGCCATGATCCTTCTGGGGAAAAATGGCCAAAAGGTTTTGTTAGTGTCCTATTGGGATGGTAAAATTCTAGTACTTTGGAATAATTAGATATCAGTTTTAATACTATGACACAGCTGTTACAATGTATTTCGTCATCACCATTGTCCTCATGAGTGACAGCGTTTGTTGTTTTTGGTGCAACAAACTGACATGGCAACCTTTCTAGAAATCATTTAATGCTCCTGGAGAAAAGGTTGAACCAGCCCTTAATGTGTATATACAGATATATTTCTTTACCAAGGTTGGATTCACATATACATGATTTGATTTCTCTGTATGTGATCACTGTATACTTTGGTCTAGTTTGCACATGCAGCAGCAGAATGAGGTGGAGTGGACTGCAACACTTCTGACTACAGGTGAGAGATGTCATATTTTAAGTATCCCTAATGTTGCAAGTCCCCTTCATGGATCACTGCCTTGCCGTGGCGAAGGGGCTTGAATAACTCCAGGAAGCTATGAGCTATGCCGTGCAGGGCCACCTAAGATGGACAGGTCATAGTCGGGAGTTTAGACTAAATGTGATCCACCTGGAGAAGGAACTGGCAAAGCACTCCAGTATTTTGCCAAGAAAACTCAATGGACATAAAAAAGAGAAGCTTTGAGAAGAATGTGGGAGTTTCAAAGGCATGCTCTGGTTCACGGGGTCACGGAGAGTCGAAATGACTAAGACGACTAAACAACAACAAATTCTGCAAATAATTTTAATAAAATTATGCAAGTAAAAGACTAGCAAATGGGAGAGGAAGGTTCTAGACCAGCCTGCTTCTTGCTATGTCAGTTTTTGAATTGCATAGGAGTGAATGGAACCAAGGAGTGGAGGGGAAAGACTGGATAGGGACTAAATCTGCTCCTGTTTTGTTGGTGATGCTAATGACCAGGCGAGGATGAATATATCAGTTTCAGTTTCACTCCATTTCTCATTTTTCTAACTTAAGCTAAACTCGCCACATGTTCATATCAGTTTGCAGCTTTTAAATAAAAAGACCAGCAGCATTTTGGTATGCATTTATTTTAAATTTAGTTTTTTTAAAAAAAAATGTTTTTATATTTGCACTTGCTTTATGTATGTCTTGTATTGTGAAATCACTTTGAGATGTTTCATAGGAAGTGATTCACACATAGAAATAATAATAAGAAAATTTACATATGCAGTTTTGCCTAATATTCACATTTTCGCAAGCAATTTTTCCTGAATATGTCTTTTGCATGCTATTATCATGAATATATGCATTTTAGGCACACACATTTAGAGGACTGCATTGTAGAATTTGGAGAAGTGCAAACTTTGAAGGATCGTGAATATGTATGTATGTACTGAAACTCTGGAAAAATATAATAAATAAATAACAATTAATTTTCTTGGGAAGGATAGCTGTGTTTTGATTTATGCATAGTTTTGGAAAGTGCAAATTAGGTAGGTTTGCATTAAAATATGAAGCAAAAGTAATTTCTTGCCCATTCCTAGTAGTGATCTAAGCCATTAAGAAATCTGCTTCTGCTTATAGCTGCCTAGCCCCATTCTAACCGAATGTTGGAGAATTGATAGAATATTGGACATTGGCTTTTTACAGAGACTATTATGAGGTTTATTTAGGGTTGAAAAAGCAGTGAGTACCTTTTGGTTCTTTTGCATTACTTTTGCACTTCTCAAATGCAGGGTGGGGGGATCCTTATTCTTCAGACTTGATGAATCACTCCAGGAAGTATGATGCTTAAGTTGCTTTAAGAAGCCCTGCATATAATTTCACATAACGATGTGACATAATTTGCTTAACTGAAGCAATCCGAAGTGATTCATTCTAAAACGATGCATTATTCAGACTTTTTTTAAAAAAAAAAAAGGAAAGGAAAGCTTGTCATAGACATGTGACTTGAGAAA